AATCTAGAAAAACCTCGATGATACGATTCGACTTTTGTAATGCTCCATGCATAATATCGTCTCTTCGTAACGTTTGCTTTCGGCAAAACGTTTAATGGCTAGATTCGTGGCGAATTTTCATGCCATTTTCCGAAAAATTTTCCAATAGACCTTTTTGATGGATGGAATTTCCAATGAGCTGCCGAGTCCTCCGGACCCATCGAAAATCTCTCAATTCTGCGATGGTGTCTTGTCAAGGTTCTACTCGAATCAAAGTGGCTTGTTTCCTTTTTTGTTGAAAATAACATAATTTTACCAATTAACTGCTGATTACTGTGTCCTGAAAGGAATTTCCTTTAAATTGAGCAGGCAAAGGAGCCCGATATCCCTATCCCGGGTGACAAGCATCCGACCTACGTGAATTCAACCTATCCTCCAAAGCCCTTCTTAATGAGCTTATTAATCCTCTCGTTTTTCCAAGACGAGCATCTCGTACCGCGGACGAGTGCATGCAGGTAATCCTGCAGTTCATGCAGCCAAAAAAAAAAGGGCGATCCGACCCCAGAAAAGGGTCCGCAGGGAGTCCTTTGTCTGGGGCAGGGCCGAGGCTTTCACGAGAATTTGCGTGCCAAAAGTGTCATCCTCATTTTGGGGACACACTTTCAGCTGCAAGTTCGCGCCCTCCGCGAGCTAGTTTTTGCATTTTAGAAAAATTGTTTCTGTGCAAGTTTGCGCATTTTAGCAACTCTTAGGAATAGATCTGCAGGGCTATTTAAAATTATTTTTTCACATTAATGTAGATATGAAAAAAAGAAAGTAAATGCATTAATTAAGTATAAGAATTTATCAGAGTATTTGGCAGTAACTTTTTTTTACCAGGGGAACCTGTTCAGCAGGATTTTAAATACATGTTATCCTCAAAATTCTGCTGCACTCCACACCTCACTATTTTTGCACCTCTTACAATTAATTTTTACAAAAATGAACATAATTTTTACAAAAATGAACATAATTTTTATAAAAATGAACATAAAAATGGGGATGTACGCATTGTTTGTATTACAGTATATAGATCTCTGCATGGGGCACTTCGGAATTTATTCCCACAACAACTCCATTTGCTGGATTCCCTCATCCTTATGAGGACAAAAATTTGTGGTAAGACAAAATAACGAGAAAAAACCAGAAAAACGAGTAATTTGTAATGCATTGTACATTTATGAAAAATTTTACTTTAGAGCTGGCTTGCATTCTGCTCGGAATAGAATTAGTCTGCCTCACATCCAGTAGGAGAGCTTCCACATAAGGGAAACCAGCAGATAAATGTAAAATAATTTGAGTGTTTTATTTACAGAAAAAGAGTGATATTAAAATTAATGATACTGTAGTATATTTTATTATCAAATACATCTTTTAATTGGTATCTGAATACATTTAATACAATGAGGACAGTGCTATAGCAAAAACAGCTGCTTTGCTGGAAGTCAATTACAATCTGAAAAATAGCCTATCCTGAAAGAAAGGCTTAATTTTAATGCAGCACTTACTTTGATAACTCACAACTCTCTATGCTGGGCTTATTTTTGTGGCGCAGCCTATGTAATTTTTCACAAGCAGTGCACCAAATTTTAAAATTTTGTGCATGTGCAAAATGTTTATTTTCATGGCACAAATTCATTTTTACAGGCTGTTCCATGTCTATTTTCTTCACAGACCTAAATAATTTTTTTAAAGCGGTGCCATGCAGAATTTCCCAATTGTATGCCTGTATGCCATGTTTATTTTCATGGGCACAGACCTTATGGATTTTTTACAGTCTGTGCCATGTCTAATCTCATGGGCCAGACTTTCATCCATATTCAAGTTCCTTATTAAATTCAATTGAAGAATGTTCAGTACATTTCCAAATGCATGCAAAAACATAAACTTGTAAAATCTTTAACACTCAAGGACTTCTCCATGACCTAATACCTACTTTCAGACTCATCTTCATTTAGTCAACCGATCGTTAACTCCGCACTTCAAATAGTAAGACTGTCCAATCTCTACTGAACACAACAAATTATTTAGAGCTGTAGAATTATAACAGAGATGACTTAGGTCTGACCCATGAGAATAGACATCGCACAGACTGGAAAAAAACTCACAAGATCTGTAATTCTGACAGGTTAGAGATGACAACACAACAAAGTTATTTAGAGCTGTAGAATTATAACAGAGATGACTTAGGTCTGGCCCATGAGAATAGACATGGCACAGACTGGTTAAAAATTCACAAGGTCTGTGCCCATGAAAGTTAACATGGCACACAGCTATACAATTGGGAAATTCTGCATGGCAAAGCTTTTAAAAAGTATTTAGGTCTGTGACTTAAAAACATACATGGAATGGAACAGCCTGTAAAAATGAATTTGTGCCATGAAAATAAACATTTTGCAGATGCACAAGATTGTGAAATTCTGTAGACTGTCTGTTGAAAATACATAGGCTGTGCCACAAAAATAGGCCCAGCATAGAGAGTTGTGAGTTATCAAGGTTCAACTGCATTACATTTTGCACTAAAATTAAGCCTTTCCTTCAGGATAGGCCATTTTTCAGATTGGATTTTACTTACAGCAAAACAGCTATTTTTGCTATAGCACTGTCCCCATTGTATTATATGTATTCAAAAACAAATTCAAACATGTACTTGATAATAAAATTTCCTACTGCTACTTTTAATTTCACTCTTTTTTCTGCAAATAAAACACTTGAATTATTTTACATTTGTCTGCTGGTTTCCTTATGTGGAAGCTCTCCTACAGGATGTGAAGCAGGGTCATTCTTTTCCCGGCATAATTCAAGCTAGCTCTTGAGTATTTTTCTGCAAATAAAACACTCGAATTATTTTACATTTGTCTGCTGGTTTCCTTATGTGGAAGCTCTCCTACAGGATGTGAAGCAGGGTCATTCTTTTCCCGGCATAATTCAAGCTAGCTCTTGAGTAAAATTGTTCATACATTTATGGGGTATTAAAAATTACTGCTATACAAAACAACTGTTGGAGTTAATTCAGGAATGATGATAAAAATGGAGATCAGGAAAAAATTCCTGAGGAATACTTTGCACATTTTTTTTGTTATTTGGTCTTACCACAAATTTTCCTCGTCATAAGGATGAGGGAATCTAACAAATGGAATTATTTTTGGAAAAAAATTCCAAAATGCCCCATGAAGAGATCTGAATGTTTTAATATACAGTACTGTAATACAAATTTTCCTCCTCATAAGGATGAGGGAATCTAACAAATGGAATTATTTTTGGAAAAAATTCCAAAATGCCCCATGAAGAGATCTGAAGGTTTTAATATACAGTACTGTAATACGAGCACAGTCTACAGCGCCATCTTTACATTCATAAAGTTTTTGCAAAAAATTAAAAGTGGTGAAAAAATGTCGAGGCGAGGAGTGCAGCAGAATTTTGAGATAATATGTATATAAAATCCTGCTGAATTGACCCGATTTCCTACTGGTCGTTTCAGCAGGAATGAAGACGTTTGTTAACTCGGGGTGTTGCTAGCCCCGGTTGTTGAAAAAAGTGTTGGTCAGCATTCCTGGACGGTTTAAGCCTCTCGCGCGGTTTTCTTTTGGCTTCATCTTCCGTACGCGGCACTGCTGTACTCCTGGGGTGGAACTGAAAGTGAAAGTCCTCAATGCTTGACTATTCCTTATTTTTTATCATTTCTTCCCGAGGTCGGCTTGTCAAAGCTTCTCTGACATTGAGGAATTGTTTGATGCCCCCGGTTTTTTTTGGCCGGGCAGGGGGTTCATGCACTTCGACGCAGTTTCGAAATGGGAACCCCGTACATCGATCAACGATGCTTATTTAAAAAAAAAAAAAAAAAAAAAAACGCTTGGCATGTTTAAACGCCTCTGCGATCAAGGTGGTCGAGATTCGTGTTGCCTTATTCATTTGAATACGGTATACTGCACTATGGACCTTTTTCCTCGAAAAAGATTTGCTTAAATATAAACATGCATCTAACTTTCGATTCAATCTTGAATGTGACGGAGTCCTTGATTTGCATGTGAAATTACTGCATGTACGTGTCTGACCAACCCAAATTGCCGAATCTGAATTAGAATGAATACAAATACAGCTGAAAAAAGCTCAACACAATTCTCGAGTGCCTCATGGCAAAAATGGAATCATCAATTGAAATAGAAATTTTGAACTTATGAGGTCCTCTGTGCCAAAGCTTCTCAATCTGGTACAATGAATTGAAAATAACCTCATCCCGACGAATTTTACGATGAATTACAGTATGTTTCAAAGTTCTTGCGGTAGATCCTCAGTGCTATTTGAGTTTCGATATATTGTTATACATTTTCATTTCAACGTTGTTTTCTACTCACATTTACTTTGCTGTAAAAAGATTATACTGCTGAAAAGTATTTCATGAAATTATAATATAAGGTATTAATACTGAAGCCGTGCAGGAGGAGGTTAGAGTAAATTATTGTGCATACAGCGACGGCCTGATTGGCGCTCTTGTGGGCCAAGATGAAGTTTCAGGACTTCTGCCAAGAAAATACCCGACTCTTTTAAACAGAGAAGAGTGTTGAATTACTGCAGTATTGCCTATTTCAAGCATACTTTGTCCAAAGATTATTTTCCCGTTTCGGTGCACAGCTCATTAAAATACTGTAAGCTAGTTTTCGAGCATTTTTAACACTTTGTTGGTTGAGAAAATACGGCATTTCGCATAATTTCGGAGGTAGCTCTTGATGACTTTCTGGGGGTGACATGTTTTCTTTCTCGCCCTGGTTTCAACAGAAAGGAGGGGGGCAGCGTCGGTTTTCGATTTCTTTTTTTAAATAATGGTCGAAAAAAAAATCAGTTGACGAGTAAACCTTCAGCGAGAGCGCAGAACAAATACGAGTATAGTTGGCCAAACCGCGTGCACCTAGAAGACACGTTGGCGCTTTTCCAGGTTCACTGATTTTCAATTGATCATTTCGCCTGACGGTCAATTTGCTGCGATGGATGACGCAACACGAGCGGAATCGTTAATCCGCGAAGTGCTTCCACTTCTTGCTAAAGCGGTCATTCCTCTTCGGTTTGCCCCCTTCAACATTAACTGTCACCAAGCGAACGACGCCACCGAACAACCAACGTAAATAACCGACCGGCTGACTGACTTGCCTTTCCGACTAAATAACATATTCAAGTCTATTTTTACCCCCTGCCACTTACCTCAAAATTGCGACATTCTCTTCATATCACTGCAAAATATTCTCCGACGCAAAATTTCCGAGACTAATTACCATTAACTTTAATACGAACAGTTGTTTCTGTGTTCATTGCATTTTGCTTCCAACAAAACCATCCTGTGTTTAATACACCGATTTAAACGAAAGCGTTGTTTTAATTTTCGGGCTTCACGAAAGTCCTGCAGGCATCGAAGATTAACACGCTGCTTCTCAAAATATCGCTTTATCGTTTACCGTAACATGTACCTGCAATTAGACTTGTTATATATAACCTCACGCTTGCGTTGGCATTGCATTTCTTCCGCACGACAGTGGTTTCAAGGCTAAAAATATATTCTTTCAACTCTTCGCGGTGCTTTTAGTTGATTGATGGGAAAACTGTATAATGAACTGCGAGAGAGAGAGAGAGAGAGAGAGAGTGAGAGAGACAGAGAGAGAGAGAGAGAGAGAGTGAGAGAAAAAAAAACAAAGACAAAACGAGGACGAGTTTTATTTGATGCCGTTCTGACGTTTCCCAATTTGTGTCCCACTNAGAGAGAGAGAGAGAGAGAGAGAGAGAGAGAGAGAGATTAAAAAACCCTTCTCTAACGATCTCGTGATGAATACTAGCATGCATTTTTTTGGAGAAACTCCATAAATGCTATGGAACATACTGTAATTGCAAAGTTGCATAGGTTGCGGTTTCTTAATCAGTGGGTGAACTTGCCAGGTGGTACGCGGACCAGTGTGAGGACCATTTTTAAGGGTTATTGCTGTCAAGACATAGATTCGTGTGTTCATAATCGACATTACAGCCAATCGCGAGCAAATTTTGATCACGATTTAATACTATGCAGTAGAATGAATCATATTATAGTGAAGACCAAGTACTGTACAGCTACAGTAGTAAAGTTATGTGCCCTACTAAACTCTATTCGAGAACAATGTTGTGACGTTTGTCGAAACCTTGAAGTCAGGAAAAGTCTTGCATGCACGGGCGGTACTTCACCGAACGGTGCAGTTCGGACGCGTTACGGTTTTCAAATCCAAAAAAAATATGGAAAATTCCCTGCTCAGATTATGCATTGGCTCTTCTGGCTTTAAATGCTTCTTAGAACGAATATTTTGCAAATATTTATAAGTACGGCGAAAGGTTTCATGCAGATGCAGGGTCTGAATGCGCTGCGTTCTCTCCTGATTCTAGCAATTCTACAGCGTGCCCTTTCTCGTATACAGACACAAGCAACAAACAAACTTCATCCCGCGTTTGAACTCAATAAATTAGAACTGAAATGGTGCTGTGGTCCTCAAGGTTGACGGTTCCAGTAAAAGTTTCTGCTTTTTTTTAAGGTTCTTTTAATTTTTTCATCGAACAAGGACTGACTCCATAAAATTTCAAAACATTATTCCATCTTAGGCGCGGCCGGTTGAATTCGTTATAAAAGGGAAATTTATTGATACTGAATTGTAAATGCAATTTTCCGTCTGCGTACTTATTCTCTGCCAAGATTGGAGGAAAAATAGTATACGTTAACGCATGCTATCTCTCCCTCGTGAGATTAACAGCCTGAAAGACGAGAGTTGATTTCGGAAGCAATAGTTCATCGCCATAAAAATGGTACATTTATTGATACTGAACTGGAAATTCTATTCACCTGTCATATTTTTACGACTACAAAGAGTCTAGGAAGATTAATAAAAAAACTTAACAGGTATTTTCAGCCCTTCGCGAGGCCCAACCTGTAAAACGGAAATTTGTTTTGAAGACGGTAGTTCAACCGAAAACCTATTGTGAATCAACAGGCTGACGCGCCGGGCAGGAAGCGTTCAGCCAAACCGTTCCGGTGCCAATCAAACGAACGTGACTGTCACGAAATTCAGACCCCGGAATTTTGAACCCCGGGTGGTCCGGGAAATCCCAATACGTCGGCTGAATTCGACTGAAAGTGCGTCGGCATCGACGACTTGGATTGGTCCTGCGTCAGCGACATCTGCCGAGGAAGCTCGCCGAAGCGCTCGGGTCGAAAACCGCAAAAGCTACCCGAAGTACTCGAAGCCGCCACAACCGCAACGGGCCACAACGTACTTCGTTCCTCCTCAGCAAACCAGTGATCCTTTGTTCGCAGCGTTTGCATCAGGTTTGTGCAGTGTAAAAGGATAGTTCGAAAGTAATTTTCACTACCGTAAGAAGAAGTTTTTTTTAGATACCTATTAAATTCACAAAAGTTCTGAGTTCTCCAAATCCCCATAGGATCAATAAAAAGACCTGAGTCAAGCCTCTAATAAATTACTGAGAATTTTATTCACAGCAAGCTTGCCACGGAGAATTTTGCTCAGCAATTGCAGTTCAAAGTCAAGCTTCAAAGACAACATCCATAATACACACACAAATTACGTCGCAGATTTGTTCACTGACGCATCGTTTTCAAACCATGACATCATATTCCCTGAGAGCAGGTTCTTAAAATTTTATGTATTATTTGATAACTATACATTTTCACAAAACGTAAGTTTTGTACGTTAACCCATTTCCTAAATTATTCTGTACGCTTCACCATTCTTTCACCCCATTGTCGTCTGCGTGATCATCAAACATTACTTTGAAAACTAAATCCATGATATCAATTTCAAAAGACTAAAGGAAAGACGGAATGGCCTGCGTCTTATGACGAAATCCTTGAATTTAAAGATGGTTTTGCGGTTGGTTTTACATTTGTTTATTACGTTGAATAATTCATAAGGGGCTTTTTCGGTCTTGGGAAAATATTTTTTCCCGTCAACTATAGTTCTTATTTCTTCTTTATTTCTTATTGCTTATTTATTCCTGATGTCATTTTTTATGCTGCAGAGGCTTTGCTAATTTTATATATGTTGATGTATTATAATATGAGTTAAAATAATGAGGTCCACGGATGAAAAATCATATGTCTCGGCTTCGGAACAATATTGCGACAAGTCCGAGTTTTCATACGAGTTCATTTGATTATTTCAGTAAAAATATTTTGAATATCGATAGATGGAGTTTTCCCATAGCTTCATCTCGAAGTACCAATTGTCGATGGAATCTTGTTTGAAACGAGCAAATATACTATACGGAGATCAGGTGTGGCGTTGCGGAATTCAATCCGACCTGGTATCGTATTTTCATCTCGGAAAACGAAAACAAAATCGCGGATTCCACCTTTGAACATGAATATTTTCGGAAAGCTTGGCATGGGTCTCCACATTTACCCCCTCACTAAAACGTTCAATCTCAGGCCTTTTAACCGCGGGAAACGATTCATGAAATTTCCCTACTTCGCTGCGCTCAAGACACGATGATTAAAACTGACGTCTATGATCTATTGAATCCAGCTTCTCCGCACTCGCGGCCCAACTCCTTCAGTCACACGTCGTCAGCAAAGGTGATTTTCCACCCTATCTTCCAAACCGGTGTCCCACACTCCGACACTTTCTCGTCGAGTCACGCACCACGTCCCGATGACGACGATGGCCTTCCACCAGTCATCATTACTGAAATCACAGAGGAAGAAGCCGAAGAGATAGCGCGTAAACAACGGCGAGAACGCCGGAAACCTGAAGAGGGTAAGATTGTCAAGTTAATCAAGTACATTATAGTAATGACTCGTATAATTTTTAAAGTCAAGTTTTTTTTGTATCGCAGTTATGAAAAGCCATGAAATAATAATTAATCTTTAAATTTGGCCATTCCCTTGATAATAAATTCGAAACCCAACTTCCTCCCGTAAAGAAATTACATTACAGGATCCGGGAAAATGCAGCACATCAACAACACGGAAACAGCATACAGTACTTTCCAAGAACTTGAAAAGGTCATATTTTAAACTTCTTAGAAACTGAAACGCATCCGAACTTGCTCGACTCCGAAGTTTCGCCTTCAGTTTGGTTTATTTATGAAGTGCAACTCTAAGCTTCTCGACGTTTTTCACGGGAAATGAGACAAGTTCTATTTTTCCATAAAAAAGGTTAGATATTGTATTTTACTTTCGATGTGTACCAAGAGCCATCATGCACGAATCACTACTGGAATCTGTGGTAAAGGCTGTAAATGGGAGAAGTATTGGTCTTCGGAATTTTTAATATCTAAGGCAAAACAATAAGTGAGTATGCAGAATAATTCGAGGTTTTGGAGTAAGGGGAATTTTCAAATCCTGCTGAAGGCTTCGGTATTTGAAAGATTGGGCTTTGAGATAAAGACTAGCAAGAGTTAAGTTTCTAGGGCAATACCAATTTAAAGAACAGTCATTTTCAAATCAGGGGAAAGCTTTTTCCAAATTAGCACCTACCCACGGACACTTTAGCGTTGTTCAAAGTAAGTTTCGCGAATTTCGATCTTTTTTTAGGCATTTACACGATACTGTGCCTTTGCACATCTTTTTTGAACGATGTTTAGCATTGGGTATGACGAGAATTCGAGCTTCATTGTTGAAGCTCCATTTCTCGTCTCTTTCTCAAGCAAGGAGCGTTTTTTTTTAAAGTACGAAGTGACGTAATGAATACAGTAGAGTACTAAAAAAAATTGGGCCCATATCCGGTAACGGCAAGTGCCCGATGATGTCTCAAAAGTCGGAACGGAACCCGTACTCCATTTTCAGTCACCGCTACAAGGATATTCATAAAATGAGTTACAATTTGGGCTGTGGCTTATAAATCAGTGCATGGCCCTTATTTATGAAGAAATTCGGGTTTTATGTCTATCGAAGTTGAAACCGGCGTTGTTAAAAAAAATAGCATGCACGCAAGAAAACTCATTCTTTTCTAAAATGTTGCAGTTGAATAAAGCCGTCATTTGCATGCATTACTTCGACACGGGGAGAGATACTCAAATTGTAAGAGCGTCTCCAAACATTCTTTTTTCAGGAAAAAAGGGGGAATCAGCGAATGAGGAGTACACGACGAAGAGCACTCCGGTTCGGGTCAGGTGCGAGTTGTGCCTCGCATCGCTACGGATCGGCAGCGGCAACGATATGGCTCTTTCCTGCAATCATTTGTTTCACTCCCAGGTCAGTCATTAACTGAAATGGGTTCTCAGACTGAGGATTTGATCATCAACTCGTATTCCTCCTATCCATTACATGGTGATGGGATTGCGAGACATGTGTCCCCGGGTCGCAGGCTCGGAATCAGACGAGTTCATTTCCCCACTCTTGCCCCCGATGATGAAACGTGCCGTAAAACTCGAACAACCGCCGTTTTTCTCTGTTCCCAGATATTCATCGCGATCATTTCGCAACAGCATCCCGGGCTTTTAAAGAGCATTCTCAAAGCTTTCCTCGCGAGGAAAGTTTGCTGCTGCATTTCCGCGCACATTAGTCGACGCCCAGCTGCTTTAATGCTCTCAGCGTCATGAAGTGACGAAATTTCTCATCTTCCCAAGTACAGGCCCCGCGGAATGCATTAAAAAGTTCGTTTCATAATGATTCGGTAAGCTGGGGAACCCGTGGTTAGAGGATGAGCGAGCATTTGCCAAGATGCTGAATGGTACTGACGTCAAAAGTACATTATTTATTGATCCCTACGCGTTGCACCCGTCAAGCTTGGCACATCGGTTCAAGAAAGCCAACAGCGGTGTGCGTTGAACTTTTCACGCTCATCTTCCCTCTCTCCGAGGAGAAAGTCGACGACTTCGCTCGACGAGAGCAATATGTTGACGAAAATCGCGGATGCTTTAATCTAGCCGGTACTTGGAAGATATTTCCAGCTTCGTCCTGCTTAATCTTTCGGAAAGTTTCAAGGGAAGCGCTTTCGTTGAGCGATGGCTTTGTCGACCAGTGAAATACGGGCCCGGGCTGAAAAGTTCGGCGAATCTATCGAGCAAACTGTCCCGAGGCCTTATTCAACTTCGAATGATGCAGACATTTTCAGATTTAAGTTTGGTCCGAGAAAGCTACGATCCACGACCAAGGCGAATGTACTTTATTCGCGTTTATCAAACTGTTTGTCTGCTTTGCTCTTTTCTTCCAGTCCCTCATGAACCTTACTCACCGAGACTGGTGCCTGGTATCAGATTACAGTAAATATAACCTCGTTATGGCAAATTCCTACCAAACGAAAGGAATTTGTCAGGTCCCTGCAGTGTAATCAATATTTTTTTGAGTCTCAATTTAACGTATTTTTCATTTTTTCCGATAATTTCAAGTTCTCCATGCTCATGAAGTAAGGAGATTCCTCGCAGAATTTTCTGGTTAAGTTTGACCCCAAGAAGCTGCGATTCCATACGATACGAAAGAATTGCGTAAATAAGAAAATTTATGTAGATTATAAGTACTTTCAGTACAAGGAACCTCAGAGTTCATTAAAGGACTTCTTCGGGATAAACATTGTAAAAAGCAGGTAATCCTTTGGGAAAAAGCAACTTTTGCGGGGTACCCAACTAAAAGCCCCCCCCCCCCCCCTTTTTTTTTTTTTTTTTTAGGGGGGCTTTTGACCTAGGGGGGCTTTTGGCAGGGGGGCTTTTGGACTACACCCCTTTTGCGGTGGGATGTAGCAGCAGGTGTTGCAGAAAATTTTAAACTCAAGTTTGACTCCAAAAAGGTGGGATTCTTGGCTATATATTACCTTTCAATGGATCAAAATATGCCATTGTGTTACCTTTTCGAAAGATGTGCTAAGCTCTGCGAAAGATACTCGATTGAGATTGACTTTCGAACGAGACAGAAATGTGAAGATCCAAGTTAGATTCCTCAAAGCTGGGATTCGTGGCAATATCCATAAATTTATGTTCATCAAAGAACGCCCTTGAATACTTTTCTCAGACCCGACGAACCTTGCAAAAAAAATGAAGTCCCGGTGCTGGGATGAGCCGAGGAATATTTCGAGCTTCTGAACTTGATAGGAATCTGACGCAGTAATTCCGGAAGTATCGAAAAAACATAACTTTTTATATGACCATAAATTTGCTCCAAGATAAGGCTCTCCGAGCGAAGCCAGGATGATACCCCGTAGTCGGGAAATGCATTTATAGTTTTTCCTCTTCGAAGGCAGTGCATGTTGCGAGTTGATAAGACTCTCGCTGCCGCCCAGGAAGGCTCGACGATATGCTCGCAAGCACGAGATGTCAATCATATGTAAAACAAGGCACAGGTACTCACAGGAGTCATCATTGGGTATCGAGCGGAACTCGGGGAATTGAACAGCGGATGAGTTCCTCGAGCCCGCTGATAAGCCAAGAAAAATGGATCGGACTGCACCGGGATCGTGAAGGCTGCCAAGGGATCGGTCGCGTGTGAGAACGTTTAAGCACCCCGTGACCTGACTTGAAGTTGAAGTGGATGAACTTCAAACTACAGAGCCGAGTTCTATTTCGTGGAGACGCATCCAAGGGCCGCAGAGTCGCGTGCAACGAGTGAAATTGCCCACGGTTATGCAACTCGTCTTCTTCAGGGTTATGGAAGACGATTTCTTCCACACTATGACCCGAGTCTTCTCTGCATTTAATCGCCTACCACTCGATAGGAAAACATATCGTGTTCATGAAATGGGGCCCACATCAACCAGGCTAATGAATGAACGCCTTCTTCAGCATTATAAGAAGAGTTCCATTTAAAAATGACCTGACGTGATGTCAGTCAAAAATCCCGCAATCCTGTAAATCTTTATACATTACTGATTTAAACGGCACAGTGCTGCAGAGCGTTGATTTTTTCAGTTTACTGTACATCAAGAGTGCCAGAATTTCTAGACAATCACAAGACATCTATGTAGCGTATGAAATATATTGCCATATAGTGCCTCATAATTTAGATGAAATCGACGAATTCTCCATGAAAATAAACGGGCAATTGAGTTAATGTACATAATTAGAATAAAAGAGCTGACAAATGTTGAGTTAAATGTGCAAACAAAAAGCTGTGCTTCATAAACCGTTGAGTGTAATATAGGGAATTTTCCGCTCCTAGAAAATTATGGATGTGTTGGTGATGCGAGTACAATTTGACGACTCTCCATTGGAAAGACGTTCTTATGCTCGACCATTTTAATTATTGATGACATTTGATCATTTTGGGTGAAGCCCTAAGTCATTATTCCAGATGATCTTGGTTATTCTACTGCTTTCTCCAGCTGCCATCAAATCAACAAAATATCATAAATAACTACGCTAATATATGATTACTGTTTATGAGAACCCCCATTTGGTGGCTGGTGCTGCAAGGATGCCTTCATTTGTCCAAAATTTTGGAAGAGATCAAGAGCATCTGTAATTTAATTCATGAAAAATTCAAGCACGGGTGATGAGAGTTCTTTTAAATTCAAAAAAAGCGAATTATTTGGAGATCTCCGTATTGAAAACGTAGTCCAACCGTTCGAGGTTGGGAATCTGCATCTGGGTGCTTTTGAAGCCTTCATCAAGAAAGAAAGCATTCGTGACTTCCTGCCGATGCGATGAAGATATTTCCTCCTCCTTTTCGACTCCGCGATCTCGGTTCCAAGAGAAACAAACCAGGAAGAGTACTTGAAATGAACGGGAATTCTTGAGGTAATCCGAACTCTGGACTCATCAGAACACCGTTGTGAAATCTGGCTGACAGTGGGGCGTCGAAAAATATTTGTCTTCGCAAGCAGTCGACGATTCGATTTCCAAGTTTCTCTTGGTGTTCTATTCGCATGTGATTTCCGGAGAACAACAATGTGTGGCTTTTTCTTTCTCATAAAACTCAACTTCTAGGTCGTTTTGCTTGCGTTGTTCGCGGCGAATGATTTGTGATGCTTCTTATGCTGAAAATACATTCTCGGATTCTCTTTTTGCAGTGCATACTGGAGTGGCTGAGTCGGAAATCCACGTGTCCCGTGTGCCAAGAGTTGATCATCAAAGACTGAACTTGACTCGTGGGATTCTCGAGGTCAGGAAATATGAGTCAGTGTGCGCTTTGATTTTTGCCTGCGTGACGTGAACGAATGTAATGCGTGTACATATTATTCTCGGCGCGGACCTGCCACAAGTTGCTGATGGAAAGATGTTTTAGCGTTTTTGAATAATCTGAAGATCGACGAGTTTTGCTGCGTCAGCCGCATGACTTTCTGCCTCCAGATGAATTAAAACTGCGTTCTGAGTTTTCTTGAATGCGATATCATCTTCGTCCATAAATAAGCTCGCTTAGCTGATGTTTCGAGTGATCCTATGAGGTGCCTCGGACTATTTTCGGGATGAAAGAATCATGCGAAGGCTGTACGTTCCGCTTCTCCTTGTCCTCGAAGACAAGTTGTCATGTGGAAAAATCATCAACTCAAATACGGCCCTAGTTTAGAGGCTCTAAATCTGTTCTCCACGGAGACCGAAAATTCATATTTCCCTTTTCTGTGGTTCCGCAGCAGGGAAATTCTGTATGGCGCATTTTAATCTAATATACATCAAGAAGTCGGATCCACGAAGAGTAGACTAGAACTACCATGTCAGTAACTCAAAGTATGGAGTCAACGACTACAAACAGGAACAGAACATCGTGAGTTTTTCTTGTCGTTTTTTATTTTATTTTAGAAAATACGTCGATGAATATATGAGTATGAACTGATTGGGAACAGATAGACTCCAGATTTTAAAAAATTCCAATAAAATAAGGAACGACCACTTGGTTTCCATGCTGGTCGTAGTCAATATATAGCTCGTAAAATCAATGTCCAGTTTAAAAAAGTATTGCCTCTCAACTTTTAGTTCACGGATCAACAAGTCAAACATTTTTCTATTCGCCCGCAAAAAAATTGCCACTATCGCACGAATACCTGAGCCTGTTTTTTTTCGAACATGAACCGGTCCACGAAATATTTTTATCCGTATTGCAAAGGAAAAGCTGCTAAAATGAACTATAATACAGTACGTACATGAAGAATGAGAATAGCGTGAAATGTGGGACACTGGCTACAAAATTTACATCTATTTTAGACAGCAAAGCTTACGCAGACTTCGTCGAGCTGGGGAAAGTGGAATAAATAGGGTTACGCAGTCCCAAACTCGAGGTGAAACGGTCACAATAAGTTGTCGGTCCACGAAATATGCTTTTCGTTTCACCAGCTCGCACATGGAAAAAGTTCTAGCATGCCGATTGTAATTCGCATCAGAAGACGGCGAATTTCCCCGAGCTGGTCTGTGATGAATTTTCTACTGAAGATCTCCGTTGGGCAAAACACAGCCTTCCGGCGACTGGACGTAACGAGTAGTTCGCGTGGCTCGGATAGCTGTGTTTCCCCGACGTTCGTGGTCACTATAAACTTCTGGATGACTTCTCGTGTTCGAAGGCAGCTGCGCCAACACGTGATGGTACCATCAACTTGCATAGGCTGTACAAACTTTCCCGATCCCCGAGTTAAACTGCGGGAAATTTCCGCTTCGACACGCAGACCCTGATCCTGAAATGGTGCCCCAGACGCTTTGGAAATCGGCGTCGGAAAGACGGCGCGGGTCAGTGAAATAATTCGCGGGGGTGGGATGAATGGAGTGAATTTCATCCCTTTTCCTGGGCGAGACGGTGTGCTGTTGGAGCCGCAGATGGCTTGGTCGATATTCACGATCGGCCCGAGTTGAACCGAGGACGGAAGATCAATCAGGGCTGACACTTGGTCTAGATTGCGGTTGGGCGCGACTTGATGGATGCTTTTTACCCCACTGGTAGCTTGCTATTCCCGGATCAGTGCGGTGCAGATTTTCTGCAATTTTCCCTGACATCTGACGGGTACTATTCCTTCCTGGAACGAAAAAAAATAGGGAAGAGGAAGAAAATAATCCGTCGTCGCACAGGCAGCAGAGCAATTTTCCACTCCCAGAGGGTGGGGCTGAAAGTTTCCGAAATAGAAAGAGAATGGCTTGCATTTTGCCTTCGTAGGGAAAAATTTTAATCTGAATTTTTCAGAATTTTCACGTCCAAGGCTACGTACAGAAGATGCCAACGGCTGTCAATAGCACGTCTGTTATCTAGAATAAAGAAAACCTGTATATGATTTCGAATAAATAAACTTACTGGTGTACCACACTGAAGATTGAAAGACAGATAGATATCCTACTTCAGACGCATACTTCGCGACGAAGTCCATGTAAATTTTTCAGTACACTAGTGGGTGTGTGTGCAAATTTCGGGGTACAATGTTCCCCTTACACACGAATAGATACATCATTAAAAATGATATGAAAAAAATCAGATTTCAACTGGAATATCCTTAGTTGAAACTTACGATATGAATTCCAATAGTTCGTTTGAAAGCGATATACACACATTAAAGCATTAAAATGGCAATCTCCGGGATTTTGGTAATAATTAAAAGACGGGTGTTTCACATTGCTGCAAGAAATATACGAATTGAAAAAATAATAGAATCTCGATTTTTTGACCGAATGACCTCCCGATACCATCTCCTGATGATTTACATCATGGATTAAAGACGGCTACGTGTCTCCTCTACAGTAACCGGAGGTAATTGAGACCAGCGGGTAAGAACCATAAAACCATTTTTTATGAATTTCATTTTGGTGGATCATGCTACAACTATAACGAGTTCCCTTGGGAGAAGAATTGATCGACTTGTTGGTAAATCGAAGCTCAGATAGTGCAGGATCGATTAATATTGACGATGAAAATACGAGAATCTGATAGCTGCACTAGCCAATATTGATCAGCGACCGCGTGACAAACGTAAACCTCCTACTGAGTGCCGTCTAGGATCAGTCAGTGTGAGGATCATTGTCCTGAATAATTATACGGTAGTAATGATCGCCTGTCTCTGACACCCTACTTAATTTATCGGATGCCATCCAGATGTTGACTCGCATTGCGGTGATGCACATATCCTGGTGAAGGACTTCTGCGATAAATGTTCTTCCGATTGATCCAAGTCCCATCTTGAGATGTCTCTCCAAAAATATAAGTACAGTACAGTACAGTACTGATGTACAGGAATTCGACGCAGGTGAACAGTGCACATTTTTAAACTGAGAACCTCTCATTCCATTAACAGGGATTTCAAGAGAGTTTTTACCGAATGATCGGGAAAAGCTGACGACATTTGCTTTTCTGAAGTAATCCTGTACCGTGTATATTTGATGGTTAGCACTGCGGCGAAAATGAACGGATACGAGATATGTCTTAATGTTTTCAAAATAGAAATTAAAATTTGAATCTCTAAGGATTTCAACCATGATCACAAAGCTTCTGCATACATTTTTCACCGTTTATAAAGCCCCAGACATCCGAAAAACGATTACGGCAATGACGCATCTGCAAGGATTTTGTATCTTCGCAAAAATCTCAAATCTGTCACCGGTTCAATTTTTTATCCTTGTCAGGAGTGTAAAAAACTATCGAAATATGCCTGTCTTCAGCGAAGTAAAAAACATAAGATTTATTATCCTGCACATTTTTGAGACCAACTGAGACCTGCTGTCAGCTTCATTTCCTGCGTCGACTTCTACATTTCCTTCGTATGTTGCGTCTGCATATTTTCGCAAGTATCCAGCATACGTGTTGAAAAGGTTTTTTTTTGTTTTTGCAAAGTTAATTCAAAATTTTCAGCGTCTTGTTGTAGCTCTTCATCAGGGAAGAGTAAATTCGAAACAATCAAAGGGAAAACGAGGGTGCTCTTGGGATATAACGAACATTTGCTGCCGTAGACCGGATTCCGAACTTCGCCTCTCGTTTCTTCCAAAAGAGTAGAGGGTTTTTATTCAACTCGTGTTATTAATTGCGCGCAATATCCTGGTCCATTCCGAGTTGATGCTCAGTGAAGTGTACTGGTGGCCAGGGGAAAACTCACGTGGAATACAAACATCCCCCGGGAATCGCTGACTGAAACGCCGCTAGGGTCGGCAGCCGGCAAAAACTCGTTAGATTTAATTGCACGCGCCAGCTCGCGATCCATACTTGGAATCTGCCGCTCCTCAGCAAACTGCCAACCAGAAAAATTGGTCACTTGATCGTCTTAATAGCATTCATCGATCTTTCTCTCATAGAGAGCCTGCTGCTACATTACGCGGACACGTGCTCTTCGGTCGTCACTTATGCTCTCCGCATCCAGTCCCTGCCAGTAATTGTTTTCTACCCGGATGCAATCGCTCCCAACCCACATTGTAGCAAGTGCACAGCGTTCAAATACTAGGGTTGCGCTCCACTCATTTGCTTCCCTGTTGAATTGTCCGGGAGTCAGAACACCCAGCAAGCTTCTGCCAGGAATGCTCTCTGTCCATATATGCGCACTGGACGATATTGACAAAGTACAGTATTGCAAATGTCTGTATAGATACCGCATTTCAACTTGTCACGGACATAAACGGTGATCCAAAGCGGTAAAACTATGAATATCCAGGGTTATGGTTGCGTTCGATTTTCGGATACCGTAGCTCATCAGACGCGTAATAATTTGTATTAAATTAAGAAAACATATTCTAGGATTACCGGAAACCATTCGCAAGTTTTCAAATACTCTCAACGTGAATTAGAACCCCTAATTATATTGTACCTATTAGAAAATACTTGCAGTATTACCTGTGTTTAAAAATGATGGAAAACGAAGTAAACCGATGCAAAATTACGCGGCTAAACCACAAGAAAAGTTAACGATTAGTTTATTAACGGCATGTTGACAGGAAAAGTTGATGACCAAATGATTAAAATATTCCATCAGAAATTTAAATTGATTAAAAAGGGAGTAAAGTGGATCAAACCAGTATAATAAATTCATCTTTATTTTAGAAATTGGAATGGATTCAAGGTTGAGAGGATGCCGGTTTTATTCAAAATTCTACGGCCTATGTATGCTCCATGAGGGTCATGTGACGGGATACCGATTTCATGTTTCATTTTGTTTCATCGACACAAATTATTTTCAACTATATTCGAGTGACAAATAATCTCAATTTTTTAGAAGGCAAGGATAATTCGTGACAGGGAATAAATGGAATCGCAAATTTTATTTTCACAAGAAAAATGGAAGTTTTCGACTGCCTCGTCTCTGATGACACGGTTTCCGCGATTTTTTCTAGCTACACGCTCGAATCACGTTTGACACCTCGACTAACAGCCGGAGATGTTCCCTATAACCCGATGCATGCTCTTAATGCGAACGCGTGTCACGGTCGTGTCA